TGATTTAAACGATAAAAGAAATGATTTTAATGTAAATAAACTAATTACTTAGAATTTTAATGTTTCTAAAATATCTATTTAAATACGATGTTTAATCAAATGAATAGAAATAAAAAAACATAAAGTAATGGTTTTTTTCTCCAAAAAAATTGACAAACTCTTCAAAACTTGAAAGAAAAAAAACAATTGATACCCAACTAAAGTGATAAAATTCTATGTGAAATCATTGAGTTAATTGTATGTTATTATAAATAAGTTAATTAAAAACTTCTTGGTTAATTTATATAATTTTTACCACGTGCAAATCTATTTCGGGCAAATCCGTGGCTAAAAATATGCGCCAAACGGCAATTCATGCTTTTTTCTCTCTTTTTTTCTTCTTAAATAAATGTTATTTTTCTAAAATCATTAAAATTGTATAATTAAATGTCAACCTATTAATTATTAACTTATCCAGAATAATATCAACTCGCGCACATCCATTTTCGAGCCAATCCTTGGAAACTTACAAATCAAACGCGCTTCAGTACTGTATTATATATATATATATATAAAATATTTTAAGAAGGGGCGCCGATAGGGAGGATTGCCATAGGCGCCATTTTCTCTAGATACGCCTCTGCATAAGATTGAATTTTTTGTTACATAGTTATGAATACTTATTCAGATAATTTTTACACAATAAAAATCTTTTCTTTCTTTTAATCCACAGCACCTTTAACTTTTAACTAGAGTCGGATATAATTATTTTTTTACAGTACGATTCATGCTGATGTTCATCCCATTAGATTACTAATATAACAAATAACTTAATTAAATCAATAATCAGCATGACAATTTTAAAAATATACTTTATTTAATCATTAGTAAATAGAAATTATAACCTTTATCCAATCAATATCATCAAGCCACTGATCTTTTACGACATCTTCTTCTTTTTGGAAGATGTAAGTCCCATCTTTATCAAAATATCCTTCTTCTAATTCCTCTTTCATATTAAAAGGGGTGATTCGAATTTCACCATCAAAATCAATAGTTCTATCTTCTTGTCCTGATTTAAAATTAAAGTGAGAGGAGATGGTAAGTGAATTTACTAAGTTCTTAAAATTTCACTTGCTACAATTTAAGAAAAAGATGCAAATTATAAATATTAAAATTCTGTATTTAAAAGGCATAAATAAAATACAGTTTGGTTAACAGAGTTCCATAAACATTTTGCTATTGCGAAAAATAAATAAATAAATGGTAGGTCAAAATTTTGAATGAGATATCATAGATGAAGAACAAAATCATACACGGAGAAAAGAGATACCAATTTAATGTATCCTTTCATACATCAATGGACAATTCAGAATTTTTTGTCAGGATCCTTTTTTCAGAATTTTGTGAAAAACTACTAAAAATTTAAACCTATTCCAAGCAACTATCTATCTATTTATATATATTTCATAAATAAATATGCATGTATTTATTTATAAAGAAAAATACAAAATAATATAAAGAGATGCCTATAAAATTACAGAATTTTAATATATTAATAGCATCAATAAACTGTTAACCCATTGCAATAATACCATAGCTAATATGTTCATTTTTGGTTGTTAAAAAAATTACATATTTGTGTTTCTGTCAATAATTCATGCAAGGCATTTTTATTAGTTTGAAAATTAAAAATACAGTTAATAATTTTTATGAAGTATCTTTTCTTCAGGTCAGAAGTTTTGCTGAGGGTCATTACACAGATCTAATCTCTTTCTCCTTGCATAAACTCCTGTACACTCAAATTTTGAACATAGGTTATGTTTAATAGTATCCTAAAATGTTGCTTTAGAATCAAGGATCTATTGTAATGAAATAGGTGCCTCTGATGTTTATAAATCTTTTATATGCAAATATTATTGAATAAAAATAACATCATTATCACTTTAGCTCTCTGAGTGTTAGTCCCAGACTTTTGCCAATTTTCAGACTTCTGATTAGGGTATCCTAGCTCAAAAAACTAGTTGTTATCATATGGAGAAAATGTATGTAACATGGTAGTGCATGGTAACGTGGTACACTGTATGTCGACACTGCTATCAATAAAAAAATTGCACAAGTAAATTTTTCTCAGCTAACTAATTATCTTTTCTAAAGATTGTCTACCCTAACAGTTTGCAGCCAATTTTGTAAATTGCATTTTTAACACAATAAATGAATACAGTGTCTAACTGTATGTTTAATAAATATAGGTTTAAATTTATAATATTATGAACCAAGCATCTTTACCATACAGATACAAGATCCCTATAATGAAAACAGTGCAATTATAAAATATTAACACAAAATAGATATAACTAAACCTTCCCATCAGATTTTCAAAGAAACTATATATAAGTTTATAAACAACAATTCATATTAATCGAGAAAGTTACAAAAAATTTAAAAAGGACTCAACTTGCTTCATTTTTTCCCTTATAACCAAATAATCCTTACTAAGAAGTAACTAGAGTATCTATGGAAGAATATCCATAGTAACTAAAATGCAAATAGTAATTATAAATCGATAAAATTACTGTTTTCACACCAAATGAACACAAAATAAAATAAATACAGACTAAACTGAAACATTTTCAGATACACACAAAATTTATTTTTAGTAGCTATTGGTTCTTACTATTTTTTCAACCAAAAAAAAAATTATGACTCCAGTTTTTTTGGCTAATAAATAAAAAATTACCTTCTAATTCATTAGGATCTAGCACATTATACTTTTTTGCTTCCTCTTTTTCATCCTCCTCATCACTATCTAGAGAATGTTTTGATTTCTTGAAATTGTGATTATCCCGAGCCTGTCTGGATTGCTCTATTTCAGCTTCCAGCTCCTCTTGATTGAAAATTTGATTTTTAGAGCTCATCTTAAAAATAAATTTTAATACTTAAATAACTTTATACATCAATACTTCACAATAAAAACATAATAATAAATAAAAGAGTATAATTGATTACTTAACCAACCTAATTATTGAAATATTACCCAAAAATGAATTATATTTTATTATAAATAATTAGCTTAAATTTTTTACCTTCTGCAACCAATAAAAGAAAAAAACTTGCAGATAATAAAGAAATTTTTTCAATAATGCTTAAGAAATAACAAAGAGAACCTCTTAACCTGGAGACCTTTGAAAAATAATACTAATGAATTTGATCTCAAAAAATTAAAATCTTTCATGATTGGTAGTTTTCTCTTAAAAATCTTAATAACTATTAAAAATATCAGATTTCGAATGCAGTGACACAATATTTACAGACTTAACTTCTTTAAGCCAATTTCTAATTAACTGATATTCTGACTTCACACTTGAAACAGTTAACAACTGATTTAGTGACTCCTTTAATAAAATTTGATAGATATAAAACAAGAGAAAAAATTTCTAAAATAAATTAATATTTTGAAGTGCACATGAGTCAAAAAAGTAGGAAAATTTGCAGGGAATGAAATGGCATCTTAGCAATCTGGATTAATAATACTTGATACATACACATTATAAGTCCGAATTTTATGCACCTGTTTAAACTGTATTTTTTTAATAGTTTTTTTTATGAAATGATATTCTCCTGATATGTACAATAGATATCACAAATACATTACAATAGATAGCATGCATTCACGACTTTTAACATAGATTACAAAGTACAAAAAAATACTAAGATATTTCTGCATAGGTATCTATTCTTTAAAACTGCAATCCACACGGCATAAATAGGCAGATAGCAAAAATTTAAAAAATGCATATATTAAGAGATTTTCTAGGAGTTATCTTTAATTTGGTCCCCTTCTGTGATATTTTCTAGTATTTCGCATCACAGGCCACTACCCGGAAGTCAGCAAAACTTGGCGATTATTTTAGAACAGGTACAGATAAGGAAATCTTCTCAAAATTACATGAAATAAAAACTACATCTCAGTCCACAAAAATGTTGTATTATTCAGAATTGATACAACAGATTTTACTACTCTACACATTGAACAACGACTGGCCCTGAACTCTAAGATACTATATACTATTTCTACTATCCTGAAGCATAACTTCATCAGAAAGAAAGTCTGAAGTATGTAACTAACCTAATATTGCAAAGTACACCTTGATCACTAAAAACTGCTGGAATTTTTCAAAAGAATACAAAAGAAATATCTTTTAAAAAATGACTGTATAAGAATCAAACGATTCTAATACTAATCTTTAGTACTGAATCTATTAAACATAATATTAATAATTTAAATGCAACAACTGAAACATTTATTGATTAAACACAATTTTAAAACATATGTGGTGGAAAATAAACAGAATATTTCAATTTGAGTATTTGCATGATGGTTGAAAAATACGTAACCAATCAGAATACGAAGATAAAATATTTAACTACCGTTAATTATCTTCGTTTAAAGTTATTCAAATTCAAATACTCAGCAAGAGATCACAGCAGTGCGACTACATGAGTACCTTGTTTTGATGCCAGATCTAAAAATTTAATTGCAAAACATTTGAAACCGCCACTGTTGCTTAGCCGAGCGACTTTCAGCTCAATCGCTCAGTTGATGATTATTTCATTCAACCTTAAAGACCATTCACACTGCATACAAAAACATTGCGTATGCGAATTCAGCAATGCAAGCGGCTACATGATTGGCTATCTTTTCACACTAAAATATATTTCACCGAACAATCTCATCTCCGAATTTTCATGGTCCACTACAAAAAATAATCGCATGTTTTAAAAAATGATCGCTACTGAAAACCAATCAAGACCTCGAAATGAGTGTTTAGGATAATGGATATAGCTTGAAATTTGGTTTGACGCAAAATAATATTTTTCTTCTCAATATTGTGGTGATGAAGAGGAAAAGATTTTTTCAACGCCTTGGTAGTAATCTTTAAAAGAATTTAAAAAGAAAAAAGAAAGACAGAGAGAGGAAGAAAGAGAGAGGGAGGGAGAGAGAGAACGTCACTGATGTGTTTTAATTTGGTATCTCAATGAGATCTTGGGAAATGTTACATTTATATTGTAATATACACATTACATAAACAAACCAAAACCGCAATTTGAGAATTTTGCTTAATAAAGATATATTTTTCTTTTAGAGCAGAATTGAAAGCTCGTTTATCCAAAGATAACTTCATGTAAAATGTAATATTTTTAAAAATTATTAATATAATTGGGTATACTATAGCCTACGTCACAGATCGTGTTATTCCTACTAAATTTAACTAGTAAACAGCATTTTCTGCGAACCTGATTTCTAGCAACAAGTAAAAGCATCAAACGAAGTGACTTGTTATAAGTCTCTACTCGCCAGGTTGGAATTGTATTAGTCTAGTTCCTTTGGAAATAATTTATATTGTTGTTTTACCGAAGTTTATGAATTTAATAAGCATATTTAAAACTCAGTTTATTAATTAAACTAAAAGGTAAATGTTATTCCTAGTAAGTGGAAGTAGTTGTGCTTTTTTCATATTATACCCAATTAAGAAAATGCTTGAAACATTTTTGAATTTCAGGTCAAACACAATTGTAGGTTACGACATTTTAACATTTTTTTTTAATTATAAAATATTAAGTGATAAAATACAAAATTTGAATGAAATTTCTAAAATAGTTTAGAAATACTAAAATTTCCAAAAAAAAAAAGAAGTTTTTTTTAAATTTTATTTTTGATTCTCAGAATTATTCAATTGATTCCTCCTGAACTTCATTTTTTGTTAAAATTACAGAGTTTAAAAATTATTCAAATATTTGTATACATTGAAATTGAGAAATTCTTCAGCCATTAAGGAGTCAAGAAGGTTTTTCCGAACAAAATTTCAAATTTTTTGAGAAATATATATGATCCTCTATTTTTTATTCAGAGCAATTTGATACCATGTATAAGATAGTACTTAAAATCTTCCAAAATTATAACCAGCAAAAATGTTCAAACGCAGTCACGAAAAATAGAAAACTACTCATCATTTTTTATGTATCGTTTGAAATTGAAATATTTTGTGTAAAGCTATTTTTTCAAAGTTTTGAATAAGCTTCGCGCTCAAGATTTCTCTACGTCTGATTAAGATATTAAATTAAAATTTCGTAAGTGAATTTAATTGAAAAAATAAAGTTCCTTTGTGTATAAAATTTACTTTTTATTTTTCAGTATGATTTATTGCTTACTAAAAGTTGCCATATTTAATTGCTTATTAAAAGATGTTTTAAGTCATTATCATAATTTTTATAACTTTTACCGTGCGCACAAGACGTCAAAATATCTTGTTTTTCGTTTTGAAATTTTAACTCTTAAGATAATTTACTTACAAAAGATCATTGCATTACAATAATATATAATTATTTGTTACGAAAAAGAGTTTGCATTTAAATGATGTCTGCGCTTATATTAAACTCCAGCAAACATTGCTCGAATTGAAGAATGCTTAAGTTAAAGTTTAGATGGATATTGAAGAAAGTCGAAAAAAGTTGAACATCGATGCCTTCTCAATGAAATCAAAACCAACTTTATTCCTTATAATTAAATAATAGTTAAAAAAAAAAGAAAAAAAAACTATTTTTTTTTGTTAACGAGCATTACCATTGCGTTAAAAAAATTTTTAGCTTTTTTTTCTCCACAGTTCCAGATGTACAATAAAAGATGCTAAAATTGAAACTAATATCATGGGTATCAAACGTTTTACTCTTTCCAGCTAAATTACTGAGGCCATTTTCTTTTTATAATACTTTCACCAGCCGTCTTGATTCCCATATTTTATTTTGTCCCATATTTTATTTATTGGGAAGAGAGTGCTCTATTCCCCTGAGCCACAAAACTTTTCGCATATTTTGATGATAGTGAATTCGAATTCGTCAAAAATTGATATGTTATTCAGAGAAAGTTAGCTTTGTGTCTCAATTCCTATTTTGATTTCTTTCTTCTTCTCATTGGCACGACAGCCCAGGATGGGCCTTGGCCTTCTCAACAAGCCTATGCCAAGACATTCTTCCCTTAGCCAAGGTTCTCCAGTTAATTATCTTTAAAATTTGTAGGTCCTTTTCAAGGCAGTCTAAAAATCTTAGGTTTGGTCGTCCTCTTTTTCTTGTACCTGTTGGCCTGGCACAGAAAACTTTTTTGGCTGTCCTGCTATCCTCCATTCTTATAATGTGGCCTGCCCATTTAATCCTTTGAATTTTGATAAATTTAATGACATCAGGTTCTTTATATGCTTTGTAGAGTTCCGTATTTGATCTTCTAAACCAGGTACCGTTTTTACTTATTCCACCAAAAATGCTTCGCAGTATTTTTCTCTCAAAACTAGCTATCATATTTTCATCTCCACGGGTCATTGTCCAGGTCTCACATTCCTATTTTAATTAATCGCCAGAAAAATTATAAGACGAAAACGGACAAATCGGCGGATGTATAAATGTCAAAACCTATTTAATTGTCTGAAAAAACTGAGTGGAGTTGAAGCAGAATTTTCCGAAGCACTTTCAAGTTTTAAATGAGAACCAAACAATGATTGCCATTTAAAATGTGCAAGTGCTTCTGTTGTTGTTGCTTGTTTAATGTTTTGTACAACCGCTCACCTCAATGGTGATTCGACAAAATTAAATTGTATTTTTTTCATCCGCTTAAATGTTAAATTGTTACTCCTAATGCGTATGTTTTTTTTAAAAATATGTTTGGGAAGAATTGTAAACATATACCTTGAGGGAGGTCATTACAGAACACCCTCTGTCTGCATTGAGAATTTCCATAATGACAAATGCACACGGTTAGAGTAGGGAACACTCTGTATTATAAATGTGCATAACATGACTACAAGATAATAATATATATTTTGCATTAATAGTTAATTGAGTAGATATTTAACTTGACTACTTCGATTGCAGAATCTGTCATCCTAGAAACTAAATTTTGAAGCTAATCTAGAAAAAAATTATGCTTAGGTAAGTTTTTATTTTTCTATTTTATCATATTTACACATATTTCTTTTATATAAATCATTTTTATTCACTTATTGGAAATATATTTATTTGGATTAAGACTCTGTTATTCATGCTGCTAGGCATTATTCTTATTGATTTTTTAGGAAATACACTGTTTCTCGAAACACGCATTTTTAATAGTGATTTTATCTGATTAAATTATGAAGCCAGCTCCACACAGTTGCATGAGATATTTCCTATTAAAGGTGGAGATCAGAAAAATATACCAAAGGACCCAAGAAAAGCTCAAATTGCAGTCCATCAACCTGCCAGAAGATTGAAGAATTTATTTCTCTTATGTTTTGCGAGTTTGATTTCGACTTATTTTAAAGTCATTTAAATCTTACCCTTTTTTCATAAAAAATATCTTTTTAACTGATATTTCGAGAAACCTGTAATTTTTGAAGTTTTGAAATTTAAATTTATTTTGACCATTTGATGCATTACAGGAATTTTTTCTTTTGTCTTTTCCATTAAAATTACTTGACTGATAAACCATATGATTTCCATGACAATATTCTGAAGGCTTACCAAAAAGTTTGAGACACGTCTTATCCAAAAGCTACTAAAGATTCACCTTCATATAAGGGTGATTCTCAAGAAATATGACAATTTACAGTCTCTTGCTTCAAGATCTAATACTATACTACTAAAAGAACTTTTTCTTGAATTATTTTTAACAAATAGCATTGCTCTTAGCATTTTAAGATGACCTTGTACTAGCATTGACTGTTTTGTATATTTAAAAAATTTAATTGAATTTCAAAATGTCATTTTCCTGGAATGTCACAAACAATATTTCCAATAATAACTAGCTTCAAAACTTCCCATAAATTTTTCAATATCTGATTTTTTTATTTTATTTCAACCGTTGTTAGTAGCATTTCTAGAATATATGCAGAGGTTATTATTTACGAAAACTTTCCTGAAAATAATTTTTCCGATAGTAATTTGTTTGTCACATGAAAATGAGTCATTTTCCTGGCTACTTTTATTTAGTGATTTATAACCAAAATAAACAGCGCCAGCAATAAATATCGTATGTTAATAGATTGATTAGAATACCTTCCTATCTGAACATGTCTTATTGCATGAATAAAGAACCAACTTTCTGGTTTAAAACTTACTTCAAAAAATTTTTCATAGTGAGTAGGTTTTTATGTTGTCTTTGTCATTTTCCTGTCTTTTTTAAATCATTAATAAGATAAATTACATAGATTTACCTGAGTTATTTCAAGAAATCCTGTTGTTTTCTGCGGAATGTAAACGCCTTAGGCCGAAATGTTAAATTAAAGTAAAGTTAAATGCTATAAAATTGTCATTATCCTGGCTTATGAATGCCAGGACATTGACACAGTTATTAGAAAATGTTTTAAACAGTATAATGTAAAGAGAGAAAGCAAATATTAACCTAATACCAAGTTTATGTAAGATTGTAGTATGCTTGAATGTAATCAAAGTTATTTTTTTTAATTTAATGATTGATTATTATACACAATTTTATACTGTACTCAACAGCAAAAAAAAATTGATACATTCTACAGTGGATAAAAGAATTAATTTAATTCATGGTCCATCTAACGCAAAGGCTTAAGTTGAGTTACTTACTATTAGGTTAAAATGACTGTTTTTTTAACTCCTAAGCTAATATGTCATTTTCCTGGCATACAAAATTTGGTGAATTTCTATTTTATTATTTTTTCTTGAGCAAATGTCAATAAACTACATTGCTGTCTGTAAGATATTAATAAATGTAACTAAATAAATATACGAAAAAATTTTAGATTATTTTGAAGACTTTAAAGTTGAAGAAATTTTTTGTTTCGAATTGTCATGTATCCAAAGAATCACCCATAAATGTGTCTTGGTGTCTTGACCTGTTGATAAGCATGGTAAAAATAGAAGGGTTGTTATGTAAATTAAATCCCAAAATCATACATCTTTTTGGGAGAGCAATTTTTTAAGTATTTTTTAAAATGTTTTTTTGATGATCAAATATTTTAATCGCTGTATGTAAAAAATGCTTCAACCCGTTAACTTGTTTTGAAAAGGTTAAAAACGAAATTATTTCGAGCTTTTCTTGCCAGTGAGAAAATCTGAAAATAATTATGTTTTTGGCCCTAAAAGCATAATTGTTTCAGAATTTTCACATCTATAGGAAAATGACAAAAATAGCTTTCTTCTTATGAACTTAAATCTTTTTTTCTTCAAAAAGTAGTTTCAGTAAGTAGTTCTGTATACAGCAAATCGATTGATAATTCGATTGATCGATTCGAATCGATTGATTCGATTGATTGGCAAATCGATTGATAACGATTGAGCAGAAATTCGACATTCTAAAAATTGCATATAAACTACATTAAATCATTTCGAGGTAGTCAAATAATTAAAGAATTTTTTCCCCCTTTATCCTTTTCTTTTGCATAAATACAATTCTAAATTATTTTAGTACAGAGAGAATATGCATAAAGCCACATAGTTGAATTAGCACTAATTCGGTTATGCGTTTTTGTATTTGTAAACTGTAATAATAAGTTTAATATGAATCAGCTATTTAATTATAATTTAGGCATCTTTGCTTAAAACTTAAAAAAAAACTGCTTTTAATAATATTTAATAATCTGAAATGTAATTATTTTGTCTTAAAAGAAAATCTTAATCTTTTAATAAATAGCAAAAATATATTTTTTATTTTTATTTATTTAACTATTTTTTTAACACATAAGGAAATTCCCCCAAAGTATCAGTATTTCATAGTAAGATTTGGACAAGTTTTATTGACTTTCATCACGAACTTCGATTAATTTTAATGTATCTCGAAATGGTTGTTTTATGCGTCTTAGACAATAAATAATTATAGATAATTTTATAATCAATTAAGTTGAATGTTAAGCTAGATTCTAATAAATTTTTCTCACAGTAAAATATTAATGCCAGTTTTAACACTAATTTATTGCAAAATATTTGCGAAAATGTAATAGTAATTTTTTTATTTTTATACCTCAGTTCTCGATCATTAAAAATAATGCTTTAGCTTTTTTTATTTTATTAATTATTCGAAGATACGGAAGAAAAAGGTGATGAATTTATTTGAATGTTGCAATGTGTCATTTTGAAATTATAAAATTTCGAAACTATAACCGACATATTGGCCCCTGTATGCAGTTGCTAACAAAAACGTCTGGTTGCCATGGACGAACTTCTTGATTAGATTCCGCTGAAAAGAAAAATATAATTATTAGAAGGGGGAAAGATAAATTAATTAAAAAAAAAATTAAAGAAAGAAAAGGAAAACAATAAATTTAGTTGAATGTTGCAATGTGTCATTTTGAAATTACAAAATTTCAAAAGTGCATCCGACATATTGGTGTCTCCCTTATGTTGGCAAATGCAAAGGTGTCTGATTTTTTTGACCTAACTTCTGGATTAGATGATCCTGAAAGGAGAAGTATAATTGCTAGTGGAAGGGGGGCAAATTTATTAAAAAAAAAAAAACAAAAAAACAAAAACACACACACACATTTGAAATATATGCATTAACTAAAATCTGAAACTTTTAAGCATTAAAAATTTTAAATTCAAATTTAAGTAAATGTGAATTATTCTACGATGAATGGAAAATTTATTATTTGCAGTTAAAAATATTTTTTAGTTATCCTACATATAAAGTATGATTTAAGTTTAAAGAATTAAAATTTCATAACTGAAATTGGTTTAAAAATTATATTTTATTCTTAATTAAATAGTTTGCTGGAAGCAAATTATTAGTTGAAAAATTTAATTTCATAATAAAAAGATAATAAATATTTATTTAAAGTTTCAGCGTTCCTCTTCGTCGTTGAATAGCTGCGCCTTCCAGTTGGATTGGAGTCCTAAGACCAGCGGTTCCCAATTTTTTTTGGCTACGAATCCCTAATTGATCAACCGAATTAATAATTAAAATTAATCAGTAATTCTAAATCTAACCAAGGAAACAATACTAATCATTTTGAAAAATAAAATATTAATTTTGTCATTGTATTATCAATAATAATCTTAAAATAGATTTCATAATATAAAAAGTTGCTGAATTCACAGGTCTGAATCTGTTCTTAGTATTTGCATAAGCTGAAAATGAAAAAAAGAGAAATAAATAAACAAATAAGCTGAATTATGGTTTTCGTTGTAATGAAAATGAACTATGATTGTTGAATGAACTGTCATAAATGTTGAGAATGGTTATCTAAGAAATAAATTTTTTTTATTGCTGAATTTTGTTATTCTTTTTTAATTGAAAAGTTTTACGGGAAATATTAAAGGAAAATCTTTTATAAATGCTAGTCTTTTTCCCAATTTATTCAATACAATGGTATCTAGTCTAATTCTTAATTTGATTTTAGTGTGTATGCATAACAGAAAATGAATGAGCTAAAATATGGCGTCCGTTTCAGTAAAAACAAAAAACGGACTAAAATAAATGCTAAGAATGATTATCAGAGAAACATACTTCTTTTTTGTTGCATTTAGTTATTTTTATTCAATGCGAAATATTAATGCAATTTTTCATAGACGCACCATAATTCATTTATTTATTATATTGTAAGTAGGAAGTAAACATTGGTCTGATTTTTCTTTCTTGAGAAACATTTTAATTTAATATAATTTCATAAAAATAACAGAAATATTAAATAAATAATAAATTATTAATTTGAAACAAATTTAATAACAGATTTCATAAATCATAACTGATTCTTTTTAAGAAGAAGTTCTTTATTATTATATTATACTTATTACTATTATATTATATTATTATATTATATACATATAATATATATATATATTATATATATACAATATTATATTACATATATATTATTGTATTATATTTATAATTCTTAAAGTCCAATAACTTGTTCTGAAGAAAAATTTGAAAATGCCGCTGCATCTTTTAATCGTTTATATTTTAGGTTCACCCCTCCCTGAGAATCTCCTTTTAATTTTTTCTCTAATTCATTTCAAGTTTTGTTTACTAAAAATCATAAATTAAGCAATCCTAGAATTGAAATAACAATAAAAATTTTTGAATTTAATCCTTTACATATTTATTTGAGATCGGAGTAACCAATGATTTCCAATTCAATCAAATATAATGATCATAGAAGTATCTACTTTTTATGATAGATGGCAGCACAAAGAAATTTTTAGAATGGCAGACAAAGAACACCGGTAAAAGTGAAATGAACTAAGGCAATGGTGGGAAGGTGTGTGTAAACGAGAGGTTGGCAGACGGCAAGGTGCTGAAACGAAAACATTTCGCGTTGAATTTGACAAGGTGTGCAAGTAAGCGGCAGCATGCTCCGTGGAAATTAAAGAGCGCCGCATTTGAAAGAGGATTTATGTTTACATTTTATTCTTTGCTGATCACTTCGGAATTAAAAGATTCCGTTCCACTGTTGTGAAGAATAAATGTGGATTATTTCAAATTGAAACATACAAGATGATTGCATTCTGTTTTTAAGTATTTTATTTTAAAATTTTAGAGTTTTAAAAAATTGTTTTTGTCGTTAAAACTCTCCTTAAAATATTAAATATGTTTTGGTGTTTTGGAAAAAAAACTCATTCATATCACTGCAAGATAGTTCTTCTAGATGAAACGGAGTTTATACAAGATATTCAGGTAGGAATTCTTATTTTTTTAAAAATATTATTAACTTTTATAAACTATTTTTCCTTTAATAATTATTGCTATTTGATTTACAGAATAAATTATTTACCTCGCATTAATTGATGAATTTATGTTTTGCTCTAGAAAAAATGCGATTTCCACTTTGAAATTTTGCACAATTTATAAAAATTGCGAGCAAAATTGTTATTACTCAAAATTTTTTTTAAACATACTTTATTTTATTGAAAAATAATGTTCTAAATCGATATTTTGAGCAAACGAATTTATATATAGTCATTTTTGTGGTCGAATTCAATTTTAAATTTTTGTTATCTTGTGGAATAATGCATTTTTAGGCACATTTTGCGTAACAATTAACAAGTTTTTTTGCGGTTTATTAAAAGACAATATAGTAAAATGATATTTTGAGCAAATGAATTTATACCTTGTTTCTTTTTAGTTCGTTTTCTATTTTAAATTTCCGTCGTTTCGTAAAATAATATATTTCAAAAGATTTTTGCGGAAGATTAACAAATTTGTTGTCGTCAGTACAGTAAGAACAATACTTTGTATAGGGATAAGAATATTTGGCTTACAAGTACTTTTCTTTAATTACTAATTTACTTTATTCTTTAATTACTAATTTACTTTATTCTTTAATTACTAATTTCTTTAATTACTGATTTAATGATCATAATTTCAAAATATCATTTAAGTAATTTGTTTTAAAATTGCGATAGATAAATCGGTATTTAATTAAATTAAACTGGATATTTATAATTTATGAAACTTAAATTAATAAATATTTTAATTCAATATCAATATTTTTAAATTTTGTTTGTTTCTAAAAACTAAATTCGTTTGTACAATTTAATAAAAATAGAGTGGTAAAATAAGTAGGGTATTACAAAATTATGAATATTTTCTACTAATTACAAGATGTATAATACATTCGTAAGAAATTTTTTATTCATCCATAAATTCGAGATACGAACCTCCGACCTTTTGTCTCGCAGCCCTAGACATTGTCAGGATCGCATTTTCAGCGACCTCTAATGTGTCTAATAAGTAATACAATTATTATAACAATTATAATTATCATTACAATTATTAACTACAATTAGAATTTGTTGAATTTTAACAAAAAAAAAATAAAACCGAAAATGTTTATACAAGTTAAAAACCACTACACAAAAAAACTATGATGTAATTTTTTTAAAGAATGATTAACTTAAAAGAATTAAGTGTTATTGATTTTTTTAAAATTTATTTACACATTACAAAATTCTTGTAGCTAAAACAATTTATTTTCTTTGATTTAAAAAAAATAGCTTGATGGGGGGTGTATACTGTTTAAAAATTCTATTCCAAATAACTTTAAGAATTAGAATATTTTGTAAAAAATCTCCATTCATGTTACTACTTTGCTTATACACTTGAACTTCGATTATCCAAGCTGTTTCCCAAAGTCGACACGGATTTTTCAATTATATTTTGTCAAAATTCAAACCCCCAAGAATCTTTTTTCACCCCTACATTCATCTTCTTTTTTCTTCTGTGATCTTTTTTTTTTTTTTCGTCAGAAGGGAAATTCATTTTAATTTTGAAATAAAATATCTTTATACCAACTATTATTATTATTATTTAATATCGTTATGCCATTTATTAAATGGTTATTAAAAAATCAAATTTAAATACTATGTCACAGTATCATTAAACAGTGAGATTACCTCTACAATCAAAGTTCTGTTATACTTTTTTTTTTTTAAATTAAATTTACTCACACACTCGACTTATCTTTTCCCATAAAACGTTAATATTTTATTTACATCCTTATTTAATTTATTTTTTATAGATGAAACTGGTTTCCAATATTCAATTTTTTTACGTGGAAAAAATACTAACATAAAATATTTTCAACAATGATGATTACGTGTGTGACGATGATGTAAAAGAGATTATTTCCCTGTCTTACTAAACTTCAAATTCTTTTGGGGAAATCGAGCATCTCCTTAATTCAATTACGAAATGGCAAGATTCTCCCAGAAGTATGCAAGGGGTTGAGGAGTTATTAACCTCTCTTCTTTCTAAAATATTTAGTAATTTTCTCTTTTCACATGAAAATGAAGGGAAATTTTAAATGCGGGGTCGAATAGCGCAATTTACTCCCTCTTCATCTCATACAGTTCTTTAATAACTCCAAAAGGAAATGGAGGAAGAAAAAAAAATCGCCAAGTTTATAATTGGCGTCATACATTTCGTGACTCCCAACAAAGTTTAGTTCACCAACGGAGAGTTGCTTTAATTATAAGCATTGCTTTAATTAACTTAAGCAGACTTGTCCACTCGTTATATTTGAGTAATTTATGAAAGCATGCATAATGCACTTGAATTTGGTATGCAGCTATTTTGGAACCATCAAGATAGTTGCCTAAATTGTATAATTTCTGGAAGCAGAAAGTTAGATAATATTGTCATTCAGACTTGTATCTTGTTATTTATAATTGCACTTTTAAAGCTGTTATTAATTTCTAGCAACTAAACAGTTTTTTTAAACTTCAAGGTTTACATTATTACTATACTTATAATGTATTTTGCACTATGTGTACGTACACATTTCGGCAAAAAAATTTAACTAAAAATATTCGATTTTTGTTATTTAGAGGCCTTAACCCTACCGAACTCAACTGTCGAAGGGATGGAGACGGGGAGGGTAAATTCTAAATATGCTTTTAATCCTCTTTATTTTTATTTTTGAGGAATAAAGTGATGATGGAAATTTATTCTATTTGGCAGTATCTTTCGATGCACTCAATCACAATTTGAGATACAAAGCGTACGGTATTCTAGATTCTCTATTAATTTTTTTTGAGAAAATTATGTCAATACAATTTTGCTATCAATAGTTTTTGATATGTCGTTAAATAGTATAAAATTGCCTGTTTTTATATTTTTGATAAGTATTTTTGTTTTTATGTAATTAATGTTAAAAGAATTTTTCTGCCTCATCCGAATCGGCTCTCGTCTGTTTAAACTGTAGTAAAATTAAATTTAAAACAATTCTAAAAACTGTTAGAAACGTGTAGATTTAAATTACTTACTAAAAACCGCAAATCGCATCATTTTATTGCTTTAAAACTTTGAGGAAAAATTCATAGAAGTTCTAAAAATTATCATTCGTCTTTTTTTCATAATTCAATAAAGCGAGTCCTTTTTTGGAAAGATATTTTACTGTGTAATTATACCATATCAAAAGTTTGTTAAGTACAAAAAAATATCAAGAGATCACAAATTAAAAATTTAACCTAAAATCCAAGATAGCAAGGTTAGAGACCTCTTAAGAAATATTTATATAATTTTTTTAAAATTCTTAATTGTCTTTTAACGTTATATGATAAAAAACGAGTATTAATCTAGAGTAATCGCAAAGCATTGTTACAAAATATGATAGCAAAGTATTATGCGCAATTAACAAAATATTATTTTCAATGTGTATGTAGTGTATAAAAATTAAATGCTTATGATTGGAAAAAGGAAAAAATTCTCCTTTGCGTTAATTGCGCTCATCACAAATTGCTTCTGCTCTATTCATTTTTTGTGCATCGAATATTTCTTTGTGTACATCGTGTTAATTTTCAAAGTAATTTTAATTAAAAGTCAATTCTCTCTTTCTCATTTAAAAAAAAAGTTCTTAGTTTTTATATTAAATGCGATGGCTGAACAATATGTTAATGATCGTTTATTTGCATTATCTGCACTAACTCGTGCATTTTCATGATTAGAAGGATTTCTGACATAAATAAATGCACAGAACTAATATTTAGAAAATATTTAATATGCATTGAATTAATTGTGAAAAAGGAGATTTTTATTTATTAATAAGTTCATGATAAACGTCTTCATGTATCACCAGTTTCTTTTTGTTTTACGTTTGAAAACTATTTGAACTTTTCGATATTACGAACGGAAATCGTATATTTTATCATAATTATTTGTTTAATTTATTTTATTTTATTTTAAATGTATGTCTAAATCTTTGTACGGTATCGTTTCTGTTTGATAAAAAAGTAAAGACAGAAACCAGGAAGTTCATTAAAAAGTGTGTTTTTCAGCCTTTAAAGATTATTTATTTATTTACCTATTTTTGGAACGGCTATCGTCACCGGCACCCCTGTTTTTAGAATAAGAACGAAAGCATGGAGTAATAAAAGTCTTTCATCACCCTCCCTCTGTTCGACAGCCTCCGATGCAATGCATTTATAAAATACATACACCTCGATATTACTACAGCTCCTTAATTTTAATAAATATATATAACTATGATTTAACAACTGCTATGTATTTAAAATGTTTTAATTGTCGAGTTTGTAAGGTAAAATTGTAAATTAGAGGTAAATTTAAGAAAAAGGTAAATTTTAAAAACCGGTTTGTTTATATCGGTTTTTGCAATTTACCTTTGAACCGGAAAAAGCAATTGATTATTTTAGCCGCATTAAAAGAGATTCTACAACAAGTAAAAACGGTTCTAACCCTCAGTGAAAGGTTCTTACAGCAATTTTCTAATATAAATTTTTATTTCATTTTAATTTTCACTTTAGTCCTAATTTACTTTTATTTCAATTTAAAACAAAATTGTAATTCTGAATAAGACAGGTTTGTCGAAAAAAAGTAAAAGAATTAATTTTTATTCCCTTTTTTTCAATTAAAATTTTTTATAGTATTTCAAATTAATGTATGCGGTATAGGAAATACCATAATTCAATCGCGTAAAAGAAATTAAGAACTCATAAATTATCATTCCTCTACTGTTTTACACTCAAAGTTTTGTTGTTTAAAATGTTAATTATAAAATACTTTTAATAATATTTGTTTAATTTCCATAAACTAATTAATATTAATGATTTTCACTCAACAATATATTTCGAATTTTGATACAAAATATGTAAAATACAAGGTGGCTGCCAATGAGAATATCATACATGGACTTTTTAAAGATAGTTTTGAATGAAAAT